ACGAGCTGCTGCTGGTGACCGGAGGCAGCGAGTAGTCGGGCAGGGCGTCGTCCACCGCCGAGCCGCCCGAGCCCCCGGGCGCGCCCTGCAAGTGGAGGGCGTGCTCGCCGGCCGGGTACAGGGAGATGGGCTGCAGGTGGCACTCCGCCGCCGCCGCGCCGCCCGCGCCCCCCGCGCCCCCCGCGCCCGGCGCGCCACCGCTGCACGCCACCTTCTCGTGGCCCGCCACCAGGCGCACCAGGTAGCCGACCGACACGAAGAGGTAGCAGGCCGAGAGGAAGATGATGGGCCGCTCGGGGTACTTGAAGCGCTCCATGTCGATGAGGAACGTGGAGACGGTGGCGAAGGTGGACACGAAGCAGAGCACCGACCACAGGCCGATCCAGAAGACGGTGAAGGCGCGCTCGTCCTGGCTGAAGAAGGGGTTGTGGCAGGGCAGCGCGCAGTTGGCGATCTGGCCCGTCTTGACGCGGTTGTAGAGCGGGTGCCGCTCGCTGGACACGCTCACCATGGGCGCGCGGCACTGGCACCCTGGTTCGCAGGGAGCCGCGCCGCCGCCAGGGGGCCGCGCCTTCCCGCCGCCGCCGCCGCCACCGCGAGCTGGGGGCGCCGCCGCGTCCCCGCCGCCACCGCCCCTGCCGCCGCTGCCCCCGCCGCGGTGCGGGGGCCTGGCCCCCGGAGGGCGGCCGTGGCCGCTGCCAGAGGGCGGCTGCTCGCCGGGCGGCGGCGGCGGCAGGCGGCGCGGCGGGCTGGGCGCGGCCGTGGTGAGGTCGGTGCGGTTGTAGTCCATGCACAGCGTGTCGGGGTTGCCCTGCTCGGGCAGCCGGTCGCAGCGCATGCGGTCGGGCCAGGCGAAGCCGTACTGGCGCATGAGCGGCGCGCAGCCGGCCTTGGCGCGCTCGCACACAGAGCGGCAGGGCGGCAGCGGCTTCTTGTAGTCCTCCAGGCAGATGGGCGTGTACATGCTGCACAGGAAGAACTTGAGGTCAGGCGAGCACTGGATCTCCACCAGCGGCCAGAACTGGTGCACCTCCAGGCCCGCCTCGTCCTGCGTGTCGTGGTTGAACTGGTTGGGCATGTAGGTGTAGTTGTAGCCGATGCCCTTGCATAGCGGCACGGTGATCTCTTGGCACGCCAGCTCCTTGGCCGAGGCGGCCGCCGCGCCGCTCGAGCGCTGCAGCAGCGCCAAGGCGGCCAGCAGCGAGGTCACTTCCAACAGGTAACCCCACTCCATGCTGCGCGCCTCGGACCCGTGCCCTCGCCCTGCAGGCGGCGCGCAGAGGGGCGCAGAGGGACCCAGCGAAAGAGCCGGAGAGGGGGAGAGCGGGGACCTGCCGGGTCTCCCTCCTGCCTCTCCCGGGAACGGGGGGGGGGGCTGCCGATAATCTAGCCCCTTCTCGGGGTGCGTCCGCAGCCTGGGCAGGGGCCTTCTGCACCTCCTTTCCGCCGCTCCAGGGATTTGAAGGTGGCTGCGGGCGCGCGCCACAGTCCTGGGGGTCTGTTCTTCCTACTCCGGGGCGCGCTCAGCCCTGGCGGAGCGGAGTGGCCGGCCCTCGGCTCATCGTCCCGCACTCGCTCGCTTCGTCTCCCGCGCGCCCGGCCACTTCTCCGCGCAGCGCCCGGCGGCGGTGACTTTGCCGGGCACAGAGGGCGGCGGCGCAGCAAGTTTCCTCTCGGGCCGCGGTGCGCAGTCAAGATGGCTGGGCCGGGCTGCTGGCCGCGCCGGGTCAACCCTGGCGGCCCCCTCTAGGCCCCGGGGGGCTCATGCCCGCCCCCAAGGCCGCGTCGCTGCTGCCGGAGTTCGGGACCCGCCTCTGCCGAGACCGCCGCCCTCGCTCTCCGACGTCCGTCCGTCAGTCCGTCCTCCGCCGGGACAGACGGACCTGCCTCCGGTGAAAGTCCGCGCCGTGCTCCGGCCGCAGTCGCACGCGGTGCAAGCAGTCCCCTTCTCGCTGGACACAGGCAGATCCAGGCTAGAAGGCGGAGCGGACACCTGAGTGGCGCGGCCCGCACCCAGCCGCCGCCGCCTCCTCGGCGGGAGCAGCGCCCTTCGCCCAACTTCCCGGCTCCAGCCCCGCTGGCGCCTCGCGGCTGGCTCATGAATATTTATACGGCGCGGACTCGGTCTCCGCCCCCGGCGCGGCGCGCCAATCGCGGGGCAGCGGGGCGGGGTCTAAGCGCGGTCCAGGCCCCGCCGTCCTTAAGGCCGTCCCCGAGCGTCCGCGCCGCCCAGCGCGCGTTCTGCGGATGGGGAGTTTGGGTAACCTTGGGATTGACCGCGGAGAAAGAGCGTTCGCCACCACGGTCCCCACGGCGCTCAGTGCGTCTGAGGTCTCGGTTCCAGTTCCCCGAGTCCGCACTTTGGGGCTGGGACGGGGGTTCACGTAGCGCCACCTCCCCGCCCCGTGTCAAACCAGTCAGCCCCCTGCCTACTGCCCTCCACGAATGCGGGGTCCTGCGGGCGTGGGCGTCGCGCGCATCTCTGCGGGCCGGGCGGCGCCGAGGCCCCGCGGCAGGCGAGGGGGCTGGGGTCTGTCGTGGCCCAGCGCTGCGGGGGACCAGGGGTGGGTGTCTTTCTTGGGGTTCTCAGAATGATAGTTTTTGAGGTTTGGAGATATGGGGCGGGGGGAGTGGAGCGACCGCGGCTCACCCTAGACGATGGGGCTGCTCCGGGGGCGGCCCGGAGGAGGGGTCCGGGGGAGGTGCCCGGGAGCCCAGCCGCGGGCGCGCGGGGGCGCCGGGGACAAGTGGCCGCCCGGGCCTCGCTCCCGCCCGCGCTGCGGGACCCGAAGGAGCCTGTTTCCTTTGCTGGAGAGTGGGGCGATCAGAGCCCCGATCTCGAAGGGGGTTTTGACAGTTAGTTGGGATGACATATGTAAAGCCTTGGGACACAGTGCTTTCTTATGACACACCGTTCCATTTCCCCTTCAAAAACCCAAACCAAACAAAAACTTAGAAATAGGACAGACTGCAAACTCTTGCTGTTGGATTCTCGCTCTTCGCCTCGTACTTTGAAAACACGTTCATCCATCCGAAGTTCACACGCTTTTGCCAGAGCCTCCGTGTCTACGGTGGGGGGCGGGCTGCGCCCTGGCGCGGACGGGGGACGCGTATCCACGCTGCGCACCGGGCCGCGGCCGCCCCGCGCTGCTCCCGCCCCGCCCGCTCCGCAGCCTCCCGAACCGGCCAGGGGGGGCGCGGGCGGGCGAGGGCCGGCGGCCTGGCAGGTTCATTTACGCTTGTTAGGGCGTCCCAGGGGGTTGTCTTTCTCCTAGAATGGAGTGTTTATTTTTTAATTGATGTGCTGTTTCATTTAGCGCTTGTATGGAACTCATGCTGGGGCTGTAATTACTGTAATCTCGGGAACAAGCATTTCAGTTAGCCAGGAGGGTGGCAAGATACGCTCTCTCTCCCCCTTCCTCTCCCTCCTCCCCTCCCTTCTCTCTCCTCCTCCTCTCTCTCCCTCCTCCTCTCCCTTTCTCTCTCTCCCTCCTTCCCTCCCTTTCTCTCTCTCTCTCTTTTTCAATAGTTTTGCTGTTTGTCAGGTTTCATACCGGAACAAGTAGAGCGAGCTAGAGAAAAGAAGTTGCTGGGGACGTGGGGACAGAGAAAAAGAGTTAAAAGTACATTTGAGGCCAGTTCATGATTGGGGGTCGGGGGGGGCTGCTAGTGGTGGTAGTTGGGGGTGATCTGTTTAAAAACAATTGGGAGGCCGAGGCGGGTGGATCGCTCAAGGTCGGGAGTTCGAGACCAGCCTGAGCAAGAGGGAGACACCCCCCCCCTCCGTCTCTACTAAAAATACAAAGAAATGATCTGACAACTAAAAATATATATACAGAAAAAATTAGCCGGGCATGGTGGCTCATGCTTGTAGTCCCAGCTACTCGGGAGGCTGAGGCAGGAGGATCGCTTCAGCCCAGGAGTTTGAGGTTGCTGGGAGCTAGGCTGAAGCCACGGCACTCTAGCCTGGGCAACAGAGTGAGACTCTGTCTCAAAAAAAACACCAAAAAAACCCAAAAAAATGAAAAAACCATTGTCACAAAACAAAAATAACTAGAAGTATTTGTATAACATATTGCTTGAGCCAATGGAATCTCTGTCTTCCTCTCTCTGCTGTCTCTAGCTTAGTTTAGCAACCTCGTTATGAACCACATTTCAAACAGACAGGCAGAAACACCTCCACTGGATTTTGGGCAAGTTCTGTGTTTTTCGCCCTTCTAAGAATATCCACCAGGCTATATCCACCAGTCACCATCTTTTTTTTTTGAATTGAAGTCTAGTTAGAACCTCTTTATACTGAAAAACAAACAATACTTCCTTCCCACTTTTGTTTTGGAAAAACTAACTCCATAGGAATTCGAAAATCAAAGGCTGCAGAAATATTAGATGATTCAGCAGAAAATGGACTATTCAAAAATGCAGACTCGACCTTTACTTGGTTGTTTTTTTTTTTTTCTTCTTTTTTTAAAATCGGTTCCGTTCCTCTCTCCTACAAATTGGAATTCCAGTTTGTGGTATGTTGAATGTAGAAAGTCGCCTATCTCTTTAGTTGGTGCCTTGTTCATAGAGGGCTCTTCTAGAACATTAAGCCGGGCATAATTCCCGGAGTTGCTCTGATCTGAGCGCAGAAAGCCCCCTTCAAGACCACCAGGGGCGCTGCATTGCCCAGACCACGGTGGGAGGAGCCAGTTTCGAAAAGCAACACAGATGGTGGAAAATTTCTCCTGCCTTTCTTTCTCAGGGAAATGTCAAATAGTGAAGTTTAGAGTTACACTATATAAATTTGCTAGAATTAGGTGAAAGCAAACTGACATTTGAACATTGAAACTGAAAATAGTTGATTCTGGCTCTTAATTGGCTTTAATTTTTTTTCCCTTTTATTCTTTTGAGACAAGATGAAGGGTTTGATGATGTGGAATGTGGAAATTTTTGCTAAGTATATTAAGCTTGCGTGAAAAAATAAGCAGATAAAAGTTCAGACTTTCAAAAATCATGTTATCAGCTATTTGGGAGATCTTACTGACTCGTGAGGTTAAAACCACTTACATAAAAAATCATGAAAAATTTAATTGAGAGAATGTAAGAATAGCATTTTACATTTACTATAAAATTAAATGGCTACTTGACAGTCTTTCATTGTAGAAAGGAGAGATTTAGGAAACCAATTAGTGTATTGGCAATGATGGGTTTGCTAAAAGAAACTAGAACCTTTTATCAACTTTGCTGGGTAAATAATGATATTTTCATTGTATGTAAAGCAGCTGTTTTTTAGGGGAGGAGAAATAGGTTTAGTAGTGCCATAAATAATGTAGAAAAGTTTCTAAAGGGATTTCTGAACAGATGTCTTGTTATTGAATGGCTTACAAGCATAATAATATAAACAGTTGAAGGCAGGGATCTACCTCAGAGGAGGGAGGGTTTTATTAAATACTGGATACCAAGTTAGTTAGGAGACTATCAGTATATCGTCTGTCCCAAATTGAAGAAACTTTGGGGAAATTATGTTTCAATGGATTACAGTTTAAAAATCCAATATAAGACACTTGACGTAAGAGAGGGCCTTATATATGCCAATAAAGTGATATATTACAAAGATGAAAAAAGGAACTCTTTAGTAATTAACAGAATTTCTCACGTGTTATATACGATGCCAATTGTTTGTTCTAAAAACTTATTTTCTTTCAGGAAAACAACCCAATACTATGTTGTGAGAGAACATAAAACTCTATCGGGTAATATTGGGGTATCTTGGTGTTTCAAAAATCTGTCTTTCAAAGGATTATGTCTTGAGTCATCTGCTCCATAAATGGAAGGGGAGTTAGAGGTGAACTGGTGTTACTTCAGTCTCTACTATGTTTAAAATGAGTGAGATTATATTTATATTCTTCTATATTACATTAAACTCTATGGAAAGTCTTCTATATTTTCTGCCACCAGGAAGAGGATCCTGTTGGAAGGAAGTACTCTTTGCTGTGTCTGCTGTAACAAGGCCAAGGTGGGAATGGTAGAGATTACTGAGGCAAATACATGCCACTGGCAAGGATCCAAGGCTCACTTTACACATAGTTGCCATTTTGGAAAATGGCGACCGCACTGTCTTTATTTGACTTGGCGATTAGTCTAAAATATGTTTTAAAAATCAGTGCTCTAATTTTTTTCCTCATTCACACTGGAGTATTCACCAGATGTTCAAGTTCTTATTGTAGGATGCATTTTGCATTAGTTTGGGAACTTTCAGGTTCCATAAAAACCTCCTAAGTAAAACTGGCTTAGCCAAGAGGGACATCTCACATATCAATAAATCCAGAAGAAGGAATTTTGTTGTTGATTCCTTCTGTACTCAATAATGTTAGGCCTGCAGGTGGGGGTCTAGGCCCTTCATTTCCCCTTTGGTTACATGGGGCCACCCACCACTGCATCATCATGTAGTGGGGTGGCCAAGAATGGAGGAGGGGTAGAACCTCCCACTCCTTCCATTAGGAAAGAAAACTCTTCTCTGAAGGCCCTTGGCTAACTTTCCCTTAGGGCATGCTGGTCTGAACCTGTCACTTGGCCACTCTTAGCTGCAAGAGAGGCTGTGAGAGTGAAGATCTGGGGAGTGGCTGGTGACAGGGCAGGGAGGAGGGGCATCCCACAGTGTCTGCTGCACTTTACTATGTGAAAGAAATTAACTTCCAAGCAATATCATTTAGTCAACAT